ATGAGTATAATGGGCAAGTGGGAGAGTGTTGGGGAGGTAAAAGGGACTTGAAGATAGAGGATAAGGTAACAATCCCTTTGAAGAATAGAAAAAGGAACATTATAAGGAAGTAGGGGTAGGGTTTCTGGTAGGTGTTAGATGACACGTTAAATTTGGCGTCACGAATTTAACACAAGATGAGACCAATGTGTATTGCTTTCTGAGAAGCTCAGCTCAGCTGCTCCAGTAGAAGCAGGGTTGGGCCTTTGTGAAGTAGGTAAAATGGAGAGGTGAAGAAGCTGAGAGCTCTGCCAGGGAGTGAGGTGAATGACAGGCCATGGAATCTGAGCAGCTCCATTGCACGCGTGGAGTAGGCAGAGTTGGCTTTAACCAGGGTTGGGGCTTTTTGAGCAACTACATCAAAGGGAGAAAGGGTGAAGGAGCTGACAATATTTGCCAAGGAGGGATTATAATGGCAGACTAAGGAATCAAAGCTGAGTAAGAAGGGAAGTACAGTCATGAGGATGGTGACTGAAAGGTCAGTTAATCTGGGGTCTTGGTGAGACTAAAGAATTACTGAATAGAGTATGTGAGCTTAGTAGGTGAGGACAGGTATGGTGGCTATGAAGTGGGCTGCCTGAGATTGATCATCAAGGTCCAACAGGCCTGCTATAGCACTTTTGTGTGTATTACAAAAATCCCTTCTTTAATATACTTTTTCCTCCTGCCAGAACAATTTTAATAATAAATATTCAAACCTATGATGCCTATAAGGTGGGCGCACTTCTTTGAAATGCAGCATTGTTGTGTACCACACAATCTATACCACTGCAGGCAGAGATGACCTTGTGAGGCTGTGACTGTAGGAGGAGGTGGCTGAGGTGACACTGCCTGCCCTGGGCACTCCTGCCTGTGGAATGCTCCCCCTTTTCCATGGTACTGGAGGACCTGAGGATCATGCAGCAGCACTTATATGATAACGTCTACTCAGACGTGTGGCTCTATCGTTTATGTTAATGTACCTGTGGGCCAGTTACAGCACAGTTCATCCAAAGACTAAAGTCAAAGGAGGTGTTAGAAATATGGCTTTTCTTTAACATAAAATTTTGAAAAATTTATTTTTTCTTGAACTAGTGTCCTTAAAAAAGATATACTTTTTTTTTTTTTTTCAGATATGTTTTTCAGGTGATGACTAGGAAAGAAGTAAGTCATTGTTATTGAGTACCTACTATATATAGACCTAAAAATATCCTGAACAAATGGCAACCTAGGGAAAATTACTGCTAGGGGCTCCCTGAAGATAAATTCAAATTTCTCTTCAGTCAATCTTTTTATACATCTTACACCCTACTCTTGAATATGTTATTAAGTATACCTATAAATACTAACCTATGGAGACCACTACTTAGGATAAAATTACAGATTAAGTACATACATATATACTGAGAGTTACTATAAGCAAGGAGGTAGGAAAATTAAGAAGATATAGTCTCTGCTTTTAGGAAGCTCATCGATAAATTATATTATTTCCTGATAAATATTATGAATCAAGTACTATGGGAGATGTGGAATTTAATTGAGGCCAGTCTAGGTCAGAGCAGGCAGGCGTCACACTGGAGGGCACCTCTGTACCAAGTCTTCAACAATGAGTAGGAGTTTGCTGGCAATACAGTCGAAGGCATAGAGCAGTGAAGGGCCATGGTCAGGTGAAGGATGATGAGTATGCAGCATGGGAAAAGCAGAGCCCTAAGGAGAGGACTGGTGAGAAGTGGCACTGGAGAAGCAGGTTGGGCCAGACTGTGAAGGGCTTTGGGGCCATGCAAGGAATTGGCAACAGGGAGGCACGGGGATGTTTTTAAGGAGAGGAATAATGTGAATTGATTTGTGTTTTAGGACTACTCTGGAGGGAGTAAAGACATTAGATGGGAATTGGAAGAGACTCACAGCAGAGAGACAGGTTTAGGAGGTGCAATAATTTAGACAAGAGATGATGGTGTGCCATCCTCTCCAGCAGTGTGACCAGGGCTGCAGGGGCCAGGTGTGAAAGATTTCTGAGGCAGAAATGGCAGGATGAAATGACTGCCTGGAGGTAAAGGAGTATGGCTGTAAGGAGAGGGAGGAGGCAAGGCTGATTGGTGGTTTCTAGATGTGGAGACAGGGTGGTGACTGTTAATTCCTAAGACCAGAATACAAGAAGAGGGGCAGGTAGATGCAAGCATATAGGTTTTCTCCTTGAAAAGAGCCATCAAAGAACTGTGGTATCTAGAACACTTAAGAGAAAACAAAAAGCTACCTATACTACCTTTTGACTACCATTATTACTTTATAATTTACTGAATACTTTGCTATTTACTACTGAGTACATGAAGAATGAGCCATCTAACAATTCATCATTCCTTCAGGATAAATGTTTTTAAATTACATACATTATATAACCCTATACATACAAAATTAAGTAACCTATATACAGATATTTTGTCTGTATGTTTTAAGCCAAGCATTTATTATTAATAGGGGAATTTCCAAGATCTACTATGAGAAGAATGTATGAGCTTTAAATTATTAGATGGAATTATTTTCAGAACAAAGAAAATATGTATGAATATAAACTAATATAAATCCACAGCTTAAACTGTGTGGAGATGAGAAGTACAGGTAGATTCAGTTATACCTCTATACAACAAAGCATATCCCTTACTGATGACAGAACTCTGGCTTGTTCATTATTTCACTCACTCTTTCAGCACATATTTATTGGGTACCTATGGTCTGGGAATGTAATGATAAACAAAACAAATATGGCTCCAGTACTCAAGAAACTGATAGTTGAATGGCAGAGACAAACTGTTAACAAGCAAACTAAAGATAAGTATATTTTGTGAGAAAGGTCAAGAAAAATCAAACAAGGTGTTGCAATGAAGAATAACCAGGGAAATACCAGCTATATGGTTCAAAGGCGGCTTCATTAAAGAGTCAAATGAGAAACAGGTTGAGGTGGGAGGTAGGCAGAAAGACACCCTAAACAGAAAGAATGAGCAGGAACTGAGAAAAGCCAGGGAGGCTGGAAGTGGGAAAGGTGGCAGAGGTCAGAGAGGTAGGCAGGGATGTCACATTTATTCAGAATCTCTGTTATGTGATCAGCACTGTGGGAGAAGTATTTTTTAAGTATCATTTTATATTTAATTAAATGCTATTCTTAAAGCACTTTTAAATCCCCCATTTTATGCCAAATTTAATCCCTTTTCTAAGTATAAAATTTTAAAAAAATTAGCGCATGTGTTGTGGATGCTGTGGAGCACCACCCAGATCCTTCTCTTCAGGAATGAGGTGCTTATACCCACAGCAGCAGGGAGTGTTGGGTGAGTAAAATATGTCAGCGGAGTTCCTCTTTGGGACTTGCCCTCAGCCTGAGAGAGCAGACTCACCCAAGGTCACAGCCCTCATGGAGGGTAGGAGGGAAGCCAGTATCTAATGACTGGTCAGTGTAAGAGTATAAAGACCAGGTGCTCTTGCCTTAAGGTAGGACAACTCTGAGGGGTCATTCCAGCTCCAGAGTTCCCCATGGGATCTACTGAGACCTTTGCTGGGACTGCATCAGCTCCATCCTACTTTATTCACTCTATTGCTCCCAAGGGTACACCCTTGTAAACTTCCTGCCTAAAAACCTCTGTCTTTGAGTCTGTTGCCCAGAGAACCTGACCTAAGACAGCATGTAAATATTACATGTCTATGCATACATTTCTTGTCTTTTTTTTTTTTTTTTGAGACAGAGTCTCGCTCTGTTGCCCAGGCTGGAGGGCAACCTCTGCCTCCCAGGTTCAAGCGATTCTCCTGTGTCAAGCTCGACAGGTACCCACTACCATACCCAGCTAATTTTTTTGTATCTTTTAGTAGAAATAGGGTTTCATCACATTGCCCAGGTTGGTCATGAACTCCTGACCACAGGTGATCTGCCCACCTCCATCTTGCAAAGTGCTGGGATTATAGGCGTGAGCCACTATGCCTAGCCTATGCATACATTTTTTATATTCAATATTTCAAATACTTGCTGCCTGTTTAGTATTTTCAGGGAATTTGGAAATAATGATTATGATATTAGAAGCTACAGAGCACTTACCTGTGTTAGGTTCTATGCCAAGAACTTTACAGGCATGCATATTTCATTTAATCTTTACAACAGCCCTTTACGATGGATATTATTGTCATAATATTTAATAAATTATGAACCTGGAGCTAGGGAGATTAAATAATTCACCCATAATAACACAGCAAATAAAAGGCAGAAATAAGTCTAGAATCTAGTTGCTCTTAATGTACTGCTTTCCTAAGACTTGTTCACTTTAGTTGTGTATTAAATTCTATACTCCAATACTGTGGCATCCTATGATTTACAGAAAACAAAAAACAACCACCAAAAAAATGCACTTGTTTTAAAATTTGTGTGCTTATATGCTTACTACTAACTTGTTATAAGAAGTTACAATGGAATTTTTATTAGTCCAATTGAATAAGAATGACAAAGTAAACCCTAAATATTCTAAGATAAACTTTAAGAGATAATAGTATTAAACTGTTTATCAATTACATGGTCACAAACATAACTGCTGTTGGAGGAGTCTATCGCCAACCAAAGACAGATGCTTGTTCCCAACGATGGTCATAAACATGGAGACCTTATCAAAAGTTGCAGAATAAGGTTAAAGACTTGCTAGATGTTTTCAAGGTAGCTACACAGCTGCAAAGAGGAGATAATAAATTTTAAAAAAATCAAGACTCTGTGTAGAAGTCCCTATATATAGCTAGCAGGGGTCCCTGTATACAGCTAACTGCAAAGCAGATTAGTATTAATTTAAAAAATAAAAAAGATGAGAATACTGTGATTGATGAAACTTCTGTTTTCAGTCTCATATTTTCATTTATCTTCTCCCTCTGAATATCCTTTCTCTCAACTGCTCTGACATTATGTAAGATTTCACAATTTGATCCATAAAGAAAAGATCAGATAGAATTGGAGGCCTTACCTGTCCAATGATGAGAGGAACCACAACAGTCATAAAAAGCTGAGAAAAAATAGATGTGAAAGGCACAGAAGAAGATGAACCAAGCTGTAAAACAAGAAACTAGGAGTTAGAATTACTTTGAATCAGTTATCAAGCATTAGTGTTTATAAATAATGCAATAAATAGATTCTCTCAGGTGCACCAAAAATTTGGTAGCTATCTACAAAGAATAAGTGAAGTTACCTCTAATTTTCTAAATTCAACACAAAAAACTGTTAAGTATTTTAAAATATAACTTTTATTGGGAGACTAACATTGAGAAAAATATTGATTTGCAATCAACCGAAATTGCTTATTATTTTAGTAAAGTCATTCTGTGTTCATACAGTCTATAATCATATGGCATGATATTTCATCAACAGTTACAGTTTATGTGATTTTTATTTCACCTGTCTGTAGACATCTAAAATAAATGTCTCATTCTCTTATCAAGATAACATTTTTATTTATGCAAATGAAATAGTTTCTAACTTTCCGACTCCTTCAAAACAAAGATAATGAATCTCAGATCCCGTAGAAGTTTTTCTTACACGAGGTCTAGCAAATGGGAAATCCTGAAACATAACTTATTTTTCAACTTAAAATTTCAATATAGCTCCCCTAAATTTGTATGCTTTAACACTGTTTATAATTCCTATTTTTCTTCTTCCTAATTTTTTGATTCTTTCTTTGCTAACAATTACAGTCTCAGGTTCATGAAGATGCTATCCCCTGCAGCACAAGAGTGCTTATCTACACACACAGTAACACACTCATGTCAGCTTCCATCACTAAGAATTGCTAAGTCTTCCCATGAACTTTTTAGTGTTGGTCAAAACCTCCTCTGTTTTTCAAACTTCTCTGGACAAACAATAGATGTTTTTCTCTTTCACAGGTTCATTTTGCAACCAGATTTACCAAACCATCGATAATTGGCCCTTGGAACTTACTTTTCGCCTTTCCCCTGCAGACTAAACCTAAATTTTCATATTTCCCTAAGTTTAGTTACCCTTGGAAATATCTTTTGGAAAATAATTTTTGTGAAAGGATACGGAAGTAGTGATGACTGAGGGTGCAGAATGTCAAATAGAAGAAATCAAACATTTAGCTACTTGAAGTCAATAGCTCTGAATGAAGTGGTGTGGGAGCAGTGTTTTCACTGATTTTTGCATGAATGGTTTACCAAAATCTCCTCTCCACTCTGACATATTATATAAAATTCTGTCCCCCAGCTTCAGCCCCAGTCTGCATGCACTCAAAATGCCAAGAACATATGTCTGGCCCATCACGGGCCCTGTGTTCACTGAAAACCAGCTTCAACACGGACCACTGGCTGTTTATTTAACCCATAAAAATTGGTGGTCTCTAGCCCTTTTTCTCCACAACCAATATAAACTAAAATGAAGAGAGACAAACAGAAAAAGTGAAACTGGTAAAGAACAAACAGGATTCCTGGTGTGTTAAATGTCGCATGGCTGTTAGATGTTTCTTTTTATGCAAAACCAAAATATTAAAAGCTAATAATTAAGCTGTATTTTAAAGCAACTATGTCTCTGAAGCACAAGGTGCTTAACAAATACATTCTCTCCACAAATATTAACCCTAAGGATATTCCTGGAGCAAGGACTGATATAAAGAAAAAATATATTCTACAGAGAAATTGAGGCACTGGATGAATAGAAAAAAAAACTTTAAAGAACAAAGTTTTCAAGTTCAAGAAGGTCCAGCTCAATGCTCTATTCCTAAGGTTTACAGAACTTGGAGAGAGGTAGCAAAATTAAGCTATAATCTTCATGTAAAAGGTGACATTTCCTGCCTGAAATCGCTTCAGTGATCTCACATATCCCTGGCTCCTCTTTCTATCTCAACTTTAATTATTAGGTTTTTAAATTTTTTAAATGAATAACCATTTCAAAGCAATATTCTCTCTTTAAGCACCCCAAAATAAAGAAAAACCCATTTCAACTTGGGTTTTAAAAAATATTATATATTTATAATGTCTCCATCCTTCGCGTATCAGACCACTGGCATATTCAACGTTTGGAAACCGCGTGTTCTTAGAAGACAGTGGAACAAGGCTATGGATTGAGGAGGTTGTCCATGATCTCTGTGGTCCCTTTTCTGATCCACTTGATTGGAAACACAGGTTACAGCAGCCTTCCTCTGAGGCTCTGTCAGATCAGAGATCAGAGCAAGCTACTCAGGGATGTAATTAGCCGGGTACACGAAGCCAGACGAGGTATGGCAGGGATGCTGGGGACAAAATCCCTCAGGATGGCTCCCTTAGAAGTGGCTCTGAAAGGAAGGAAACCTCAGTACTGGAGTCTAATTTGGCATAAGTCCTTTCTTTTGAATTGGCCACCAGACCTGTCACTGTGGTCAGTATGAAGATGCAGAGGACCCCTGGGAAGTTTCTGATGCTATGAAGTATGCCCTGGCATCCAGAAGACAGACCAGCAAGCATCTGGCACAGCGCAGCCTGTGAGGACAGGACTAGAGAGACACAAAATCCAGTAATTCTGCATGCAGAGGTGATTTTAACTAAAGCAGAAGGAAATATGCTGCTTGGGGTATTTGGTTCTTCATATTTTAATAGGGAACCTGTTGTGGTTTCTATTGTAAAGATCAGTATGTTTATGAGAAGCAGCAGTAATTTGCAGGTGAAGTTTTCAGGTTCAGAAGGTTGTATCAAGCAAGTGCCCTGGGCTTCACAGAGTACCGTGGCAGATTTAAAAGTAATATGTCTCATACTGTCAACCCATGGTTTAAGATATAGCATGTTTAGCAAGCAATCCAGTCCTTGGCTAATTTCTTGCAGAAATATGTAGTACTTTAAAGGAGGAAACTCACCATTAGCTTGGTTTCTTTGTTTTACTATCCTATGCTGAGAAGAAATCATTCATGAAAATTTAGTATGTGGCAATTTAGGATCTTTGCATTCAATCATTCAAGTAGTTACTTAGTGCTTCTTGTGAGCTAGGGGCATGTTCTCGACACTGCAGATACAACAGTAGACAAAAACACAAAAACCCCTCCTGTCAAGCTGCTGCTTTTTAAAAGCTGAGGTCGGTGTGCATGCCTGTCCATCACCAAGTATACATGCACTCAATCCTGTCTCTGGAATGTTGTTTCCCCCACTTATAACTGGAAAAGTATGAGTCTTTTTCCAAGACTCAGTTCAAACATTACTTCTTCAGGAATTCTTTCCAAAACCTCCTCCCAAAATGCTGAATTGGCCACCCTCTCTTTTGTGAACCACTGTTCTCTGTATCTGAATTGCACCTCTTGGAATCCTTGGTTGTTCTTGCTTACAAATCTATGCTCCTGAAGGTTGGGACACTATATCATTCACATTTACAGTCCCAATGCCCAGCAGAGTGACCACGTTCTACATCTAGGGCAGTGGTTCTCAAATGTGAGCACATCAGAAGCATCTGGAGGGCTTGTTAAAACACAGATTGATTTCCCCATCCTCACAGTGTCTGATTCAAAAAGCCTGGGGAGAGGGATGGGAGTTGTGGTGAGAATTTGTATTTTTAACAAGGTCCCCAGTGGTGCTGCTGCTGCTGACTTGGGGGTTCACACTTTGAGAACCACTAATCTAGTACATAGTGGGTGTTCAACGAATGTGTGTCAATTAGTGAATGACTGTAATACGAAGGCAGAAAAAGCTTGCCAATGTTTTCATTCCATTCTTCCAACTTCATTCAGGTAAGCTGCAAACCTCTACTTAGTTCACAGACCCAAGAAAGGATCATCAGCCAGGTCTCCCAACCAGTTGTCTTCTATAATCTCAGTAGTAACATTTATCATGCACTTCCATGTGCCAGACACTGCTTTGTTTTATTTTTAAATAATTTCAACTTTTCCTTTAGATTCAAGGGGTACACGTGCAGGTTTGTTACATGGGTATATTGAGTGATGCTGAAGTTTGGGATATAGACTATCCCATAACCCAGATAGTGATCATAGTACCAAACAGTTAGTTTTTCAAACCTTGCCCCCTTCCTCCCTCCCCACTCTATTAGTCCCTGGTGTCTCTTGTTGCCATCTTTATGTCCCTGAGTACCCAATATCCAAGCTCCCACTTCTAAGTGAGAACAATGTAGTATTTTGTTTTCAGTTCCTGTGTTAATTTGCTTAGGATAATGGGCTCTAGCTGTATCCATGTTGCTGCAAAGGATGTGATTTTGTTCTTTTTTATGGCTGTGTAGTATTCCATGGATGTATATGTACCACATTTTCTTTATCTAATCACCTAGGTTGATTCCATGTCTTTGTTATTTTGAATACTGCAATGATAAACATGTGAGTGTATGTATCTTTTTGATAACATGATTTATTTTGCTTTGGATATATATGCAGTAATGAGATTGCTGGGTTGAATGGTAGTTCTAACTTCTCTGAGGAATCTCCAAAACTGCTTTCCACAGACACTGAACTAATTTATATTCACACTAATAGTGCGTCAGTGTTCTCTTTTTTCTGTAGTCTCTCCAGTATCTGTTGTTTTTTCACTTTTTAATAATAGCCATTCTGACTGGTGTGAGGTGGTGTCTCATTGTGGTTTTGATTTGTGTTTCTCTGATGATTAGTGATGTTGAGCTTTTTTTTAAACTTTATTTGTTGGCCACTTGTATGTCTTCTTTTGAGAGGCAGACACTGCTTTAAATGCTTACTGCATGTGGAATAATTTAATTCTCACAGCAACCCCTTGATGTTGGTTTTATTATTACCCTCATTTTCACAAGAGGCAACAGTGGCACAGAACAGTTAAACAACCTGGACAAGGTCACCACAGCTAGAAAGTGACAGACAGAATCTAAACCCACAAGTGTAGCTCCAAAGCCCTCACACTTAACTCATTACACTCTACTACACATTAGTTTTAGGTAGTACAGTATGAAACAGGAAAAGGGGACATAAGTGAAAATCAAAGCTGGACTCCTCTTTTGTCCTAGTGTGAAAGACAGGGGAGGGGAGGGAGGAGGAGGGGAGGAGGAGGGAGGAGAGGAGGAGGGAGGGGGAGGGGGCAAACCACAGAACACAGAAAATGATTGGAGGGA